CTCACTGTTGTGGCCTCTCCCGTTGAGGACCACAGGCTCCGGACGTGCAGGCTCAGCGGCCATGGCTCACGGGCCCAGCTGCTCCGCGGCATGTGGGATCTTCCCGGACCGGGGCATGAACCCGCGTCCCCTGCATCGGCAGGCGGGCTCTTAACCACTGCGCCTCCAGGGAAGCCCTCAGCTTGTGTTTTCAACAGACAAATTCCTTGAGTCCAAATCTTGTGCTGTCCCCACCACAGCTCGGATGGAGCCAGGTGGCCACTGAGATCTCTTTGAATGTCAGTATAGTCCGGTTTTGTATGGAAGGTTGTAAAAGTCCCTGAGATTTCTGAACTTTCAACTGGACTCTTTAGTGATGCGTCTCAAACTATGAAGGGTGTTTTGTGAAACTTGAGACCATCTCACACACGTCTGATTCCTGCATTCCAAACTTCAAGACTGGCATCTTTCACCCAGCGTGTCTGTGTTAGTATGTGGTGTAGGTCGTATTTGTTTTTCTATGACATTCTGTTGATCAATCCACAGTTAGAATTAACAGTAGAATTCCAAGTATTTTTTCAGGAATTTCCCCCTTCATTACAACTGCTTTGACTGTTTTATTCCTGGAGAAACACAGTCTGATGGTAGATTTCACACATCCAAGGGGACTGCTTTCGCATTGTTTCTAGTGCTAAGAATATGTCAGAGATCTGCTCAGCTGCCTGAAGACTACCAGGCAAGCTCTGGCCTCTGTAAGGACCAGGTTAGGATAGGCTGGTCTCACCACATCCCTTTCTGTTGTTTAGTGTACTTTGGGCCACTCTGGCAGAGATGCTAACTGCAGGGGACCTTCAGAAACGCAGCATGTAGGTTGATCTTTCACTGCCCAAAACTCTTTAGACTTTGATTCACTTCTTCCGGGGTCCTTCCTGTATTCATTCTTTCTCTCTCTGTCTCTCTCTCCCTCTATCATTTTACAGTAAAAATTTTTTGTTGTGGTAGTAAAATACACATAACATAAAATATACCATCTTAGCCGTTTAAGTGTACAGTTCAGTAGTGTTAAGTACATTCACATTATTGGGTAACCAACCCCCATAACTCTTTTCAACTTACACAACTGCAACTCTGTACCCACTAAACTACTCCCCCCTCCCTCCAGCCTCTGGGAACTCCCCTTCTACTCTGTCTCTATGAACTTGAAATTTGTCCTTTTGTGACTGGTGTATTTCACTTAGCATGATGTCCTTGGGGTTCATCCGTGTTGCAGTACCCTGTTCTCTCTTTCGGATCAACCCGTTCACATTTGGCAGCCGGGTTCTTAGACAAAAAGTACTTTTTAAAAAGTACTTAGAAAAGAAGTACTTTTCCTAATTTTCTTTTCTTAGACTCACAGAAAGTCCAGGCTGGTGAAAACAGGTGTGGATCTTGCTAGAACCTCCCAGGGTCTTGGTTAGAGTTCATCCGGTTCTGACAATGATGGCAGCTCATGGGTGTCGCATGACAGATGGCATCATTATGCCAAGAGCCACCTTAGGGCCGGACGACCTGTTGACCTACATTGTCGCCTTGGGAGCTGGAAGAACTGCAGCTGAGTGTGTGAGGCCCAGGGAGAGACAGAGCTCTGAGTCTCTGGCAGGTGCTGGTGGGATGGTAGGGCACTTCCCTTGGGATTTGCTGGCTCAGCTCTGGTCTTAATGATCAGCTGGATCAATGTTCTCAAATGCCAGTTGACAAACTGCCTTTGCTGGCAGGCCAGGCCCTCTTAACCTGTTGCTCGACTTCCTTTGCCACACGTGGGTTTGGCTTCTGGTGCTGAAGGTCATGAGATTTTGTTAGAGCGTTACTGAAGTGAGACAGTTGTGAAACCAGCGTTATATTGTTTCTGCTGACATGAGCCCACGTGTCTGTTTTTCGCATGTGGTGAGCCTGATTGCTTTTTCTAGCCTGGGATTTTGTCTTGGAGAGATTCCTAGTGAAATACCGTCCACAGCCTTCTTCCATGGAGGAGGATAGCTAAGGGTTTGGTGCCGAAAGACTGGAAGAGAAAGCTGGATGATGAGAAATGAAATCGGGGCCGTTGACGTGTGTCTTTGTGGTGCAGTGGGCTGGTCTTGGGCTGATCACTGACCAGCCGTGTGATGACTTGGACAAGTCCCTCTATCACCTGAAGAATGGGGACAGTGGGTTCTGCCTTGCCCCCTCGTGGGATCGGAGGATCCCACGGAAAAGTGTTGATCACTGTGCTCTGTACATGGTAATTTGGTATCCTGTCTTCAAGCAGTGTGAGCACCATTGTAACGTGATTAAAACGCACTCTGGTAGGTTGAAGGGGGCCCTAGTGGCCACTTCCCATCGCAGTGACTATTTACAAGTTCACTGGCGTTTAGGTGACTTGAGTGTGGCGAGTCCCCCATCCTGCTCTGCACAGACCACCCACCCTCCCCTCCTTGATTTGCCACACAAATGAGTGGTTTCCAGAGTGGCCTGAGATACTCCCACAGAGACCTCGACCACTAGCTTCTCTGAATTACTGTGGTTGCTATACATTTTTAAGTAATTTTATATACTTTTTAAAAGCTAACTTTGAGCTTTAAAGCCCGGTGAGCCAGGGATATCTCCAGATGGAGGAAAAAAATCAGTTTGCTCTCTCCCCAACCTGTAGCCACTAGGCCCATAACCGTTGGCCTTTCCACACGCATTTCTAGTCTCCTTAGATAGAGTCACAAGAGGTTGGAGCTAGCTAAGTATGACAGTAAGCTCCTAGAGGCCATAAAATATGGCTTCTAATTTTTCTCTCCATGTCCAAGCACAGTTTTCAACAAGCTCTTAATAAATCCTTGAATCTCCTAACAGTTAGAAGATGTCACTTGGAGGGACCATACCAAAGAAGAGTGTAGAATATGGGGCCAGTGAGCTCAAAAGCTTTGCAATTAGCATGGCAGGAATCGAGCCCCCAGGTGAATGCATCAGTCACAACAGGGGCTACATCAGAGCGGGTAGGTGGGCCACTCCAGATCTGTCTCCACTGTGAGAGTGTGGATTACACCGGCAGCACAGCAGAACGAGCGGAATAGCGATCGGTGACTTAGGTACATTCAAAGGATGTTGTAGAAATCTTGAAGTAGATTTCTATCGTACAGAGAATTTTCCTTATCTACACCACTGGATTCACCCGTCCTCCGTTCCCCACGTTTACTCCATCCCTGGCGTCTACTCAGTTTTCAGGCAAATCAAGGTCAGAATGAAGAGGAGATTTGGAGGGAAGTAAGCTAGATATTCAGGCTCCTGCAGTAATAGTCAATTATCGAATTCTCCAGAAGCGCCAACTCCTCTATCGTGAACTCCTCAGTTTTTAAGTATCTTTAGAAATCAGGTGATTCAGCGTTGGCCACAGCCAGCTGGCTATTTCCTGCTTTCTTATAAAAATCAGATGGTGAGATCCCAGGAGCTGGCTGGGGTTGTTAAAAGATAATCTTAAGCATTTTAACGCACATTATTCTTCATGCAGCTATGAGCCTTAACAGCCTCAAATCGGAATAGGACAGGAATCATACAGAAGAGAACTCAGCTTGCTGCCATCATCCTGCAGCCCTGAGACCCCGGCCAGATCTCCTGCTGTCCTGCGCAACTCCTGGCCACTCAGAGGCCACAGCAGCCGGAGCTGAGGATCAGGGCTGCAGGAAAAGCCATAGCTGAGATGCATTATCCTCACTTACTCTGAGTAGAGTGGATCCGAACCACAATAAAACAAAAGTTTTATCATTTACGTCAAGGTTCATACTGTGTGTTTTCTGACACGTTTGACATTATTTTGATGTATTTGTGTGCTGTAGCACTTTTCTTCCTCCTTCTCTATGCCTCACCAGCCATGTACCATGTCCCCATACCTGGTGTGCTCTTTGTACCTCTGGGGACGAAATGTTGGTCAACAGAACGTGTCACTGGCATTTCTCCTTCCTGTTAACAGTATTGTTCCCCTGCATCACTAGAGACCCTGATGGACTCTAGAAACATTCATCGGGTAGTCCTTCAGATTTCTTATTCTGTGTGTGTGTGTGTCCGTGTTTGCCAAACTCACAAACTTATTATTTAGACCACCTTTTTAATTTTTTTTAACGCTGAAGGTGATTGATGATGCATTAACCGGTATCATTTGCCACGTTCTATCTTGGAGAAAGTAATTTATGCTGCCTGTTGGGCTGGCTGTGGGCACAATTTTGACTAAGTGCTTTTCTAACATGAATCTAAGCCAATCCTTGATTAGAGTCACCTCCTTTCTACTCCAAGACCGGCTTGGTTATAAAGTTTTTCACTGGGTGTCTGAAAACAGTGAAAATGCTTGTCTATAAATGTAGTAAAGTGTCATTGTGATACATTAATCTTTCGTCTTTTCTTGCCTCTCCTGTTGCAGGACTGTGAGTGGTAACATATCTGAAAAGTGTTTTATGGGATATGGGGTGCAAGCCAAGAAATTGAAAACGGGATATGAAACAAGAAGACAGGGGAGGAGGGAGTTGATCGAGGTCATATCTGTATAATAAGAATTTGGTGGTAGAAAAGCCAGGAAAGGCAAGCTCGCATTTATAATGGACAGGTGGCACTAGGAAGTGGTGAAAAACCTGCTGATCTCAGAAGACATGGATGGGAGTTCTTTGCCTCATAAAGTCATAAAATGATGAAGAAATTAGCGAAAGTTATAAGCTATGATGTTGAGCATCTGATGTGGCCATTTTGTTTTACCTGCAAATGATTTCAGTGCCCAAGAGGGAGCAGGGTTAGGACAGTAACCTGAATACCCCCATGGACGGGTTATGCACGTTGACATATGAAGCCCATTCATCATAAAACAAGACTAACGGTTTTTAAAGATACATTTTCAGAGGGTGTAAATAATGCGTAATTGGGAAAGTGTTCTGAGGCCATTTTGCAGGATGTGTTTGGAGGAAGCGTTGTTTTCTGAGTGCTGCTGAGTGAGTGTAGACAAGCTCGCCCTCACGCTGGTTTCTCTTCTGTTTTAGCGCATCAGGTCCACCCCTCTGGCCGGGCAGCACCTTCTTCAAGAGAAATGGAGCCCTTCTTCAAGGTAGGTCTCTGACAGCCCCCCTCCCCCTCCCCCTCCCCCACACTACTCCTTCGCTCCCGGTGTCCGTCGGGAGAGTTCTGTCTGCTGCAGAGCGGGCCCTCTGTGACTGCTGTGGGATGGCTCTGTTTGTCCAGTTCTCTTTATTTCTTCCTACTGACGTCTCCTGGTTGATATGAACTGTTAATCTGAGATAAGACGGCTTCTTTGGTCTGTTGTCACTGGTCAGATTCCAGGAGTGGTCGGCTTGCTTTGGTGAAATTGGAATTACGTGGCAGTTAGGATGCAACGCTAGCATCAATTGGACTGGTAAAATCAAACCCTATCCCGGATTTCCAGTGCCTGGGCTGTGAGGAATGCTGGGGGTGTTCTGGCACTTGGGTCATCGTGGAGATCCACGTGTTGCTTGCTGTGCCCTGACGTCCACGTGTGCCTGGAAGGGTGACTGCGGTTTGTTCTGAGGCTCAGAGTTCAGACGCCCTCCCTCGTCCCTGCAGGCGGCATTTGCAGGGGGACATTCTTTCTGCTGTCCAGTCCATCCTCAGCTGCCTTGCACGACTTCCTGTCCAATGCACTCAAGGAATTCAAACCGCCTTTCATCTCTACTTTTGCTGTCAGGTTTCTTTAAAAATGGCCAAAGTCGAAGAAGAACACAGAGCTAAAAATAGCAATGAGATGCACTCTAACTACTTGGAGAAAGTACTTTGGGGAGATGTCTGCTCTGCAGATCAGCTGGAATTGGCTGGCCCCCAAGTGTCTTCTGACTTCCCTTCCTCATTAGCCTCTCTTGATTGGCTGGGTGTCAGAGTGGCACAACTGGCCCAAAGCAGATGGATTTGGTTTTGCCAAGAGCTTTGAAACTGTACTGGGCTTAGGGTGAGGAGTTTCAGTGCATCTTGGTTGGTTTAGAGCTGTTACGCCTCTTTTCCCTAAAAGTTACACGCCCAGGGCCAGCCATGTGTGTGAAGGAGTAGGATATATATGTAGCTAAGAAAAGAGGCATTTCTCTTCAGGTTTCCAGAGTAGCTCAAACAATTGTGAGAGATGTCATCACATTTGTGCTATTGTTTTCAAGGCCATACAATTGTATGTTGTCTTTTTAATAGCCTGTGAAATCGGGAACTTCAGAATTCCTTTACATCTTTGCTTGGTCCAGGTGAAATTTAGGTAGGTAGGTCTGATTAATCCTAATTTTAATGACCATCATAAATATCCTAAATATTTAAGAAAAAAAGGGAACTCCCTCCACTCTCAAAAATTAATACAGGGCTTCCCTGGTGGCGCAGTGGTTGAGAGTCCGCCTGCCGATGCAGGGGACACGGGTTCGTGCCGCGCTCCGGGAAGATCCCACATGCCGCAGAGCGGCCGGAGCCTGTGCTCCGCAACGGGAGAGGCCACAACAGTGAGAGGCCCGCGTACCGCAAAAAAAAAAAAAAAAAAAAATTAATACATAATTTAAAAAAAATCTATTCTGTTCTCCCTTCAGAAAGTGTAAATGGAGACCTATTGGGTTTTTTCAAGTGGATTTCAAAGTTATGTGCATCCTTATTTTTCCTCTAGATCTGTAGCAATGATATGAATATCATTCATGGTTGGATTATTTTCACAAAAGGCATTTTATTTACTTAGAGCATTTTCTTATAGGATTTTTATTCATTAAGTTCCACATTAGGGAAGATTTGCTCTAAGCATGTTAGTTTTGGGTTATTTCTGCAGGACAGAAGCATGAGGGAAAAATTGATAAGGTTTATGAAATTGAGTGATTTCACCATGAGATTCTGTCTCATGGGTGGTAGACTATTGTCTTTTCTACATAGGGTTAACCATTCTCCTAATCACTCTAGGCATTGAGAATTAAATTATTACAGATTTCAGATGCTTCTTGAATCCACATCCAATTCAATACATCCCATTTACTTTTTATGTACATGTTAAAATCAGAAGTATCGTGGTGAGAATTCTGGAGTGTGGGTGGGGATTTGCTAATGTTTTTTTTCCTGTTGTGTTTCTGCATTTGCTGTATCTGTATAGAGGGTTCACGAGACACTTACATTGTAATAAGGTTTTTTAAACTCTGTGTGTGTTCTTCTGAATTATTATTTTTTTAACTTTATTTTATTGATGTATAGTTGATTTACAATGTTGTGTCAGTTTCTGCTATACAGCAAAGTGATTCAGTTTTATATATATATATATCTTTTTTATATTCTTTTCCATTATAGTTTATCACAGGATATTGAATTCAGTTCCCTGTGCTATACAATAGGACCTTGTTGTATATCCATTCGATGTATCATGGTTTGCCTCTGCTAATCCCAAACTCCCATTCCATCCCCCTCCCACCCCTCCTCCCCCTTGGCAACCACCGTCTGTCCTCTATGTCTGTGAGTCTGCTTCTGTTTCATAGATAAGTTCATTTGTGTCATATTCTTGTGTTCCTCTGGCGGGCAGTACTGGCTTATCAAGAAGTTGCTGATGCCCACGAACAAAAGTTTTACAGTAAAGATACTGGCATAGAAAGAAGGGAGCTGCCCAGTCATGGCAGAGGAAGGTTTAGTTTAGAATCAAGGAGAAGAAAATGTAGCTGATTTATGCTCACTTTCTCACCTTTATACTTTGTATTTTCAATGTATGTCCACATTTTTTCTCTATGTCTAAAGCGAGCAGGAGGATGTTTGTCTAGATAATCAGACTAGGAAAGAGCTCTGTTAATAGGTTCCAGCCACAAGCATTGGGAGTGCAGGCCAGGAGGATCCCCTAAAAAACCCAGTTCCTAGAAGCAGGGTAGTAGGTGAAGCTCGGTCACACAGTGACACAGGGACCCAGCAGCCGGCCAGCAAAGCCCAGCTGCGACCGTGGGCCCTGACCACAAGCAGAACTGGCGAAACCGGACTGCACGGGGCCGGGGAGAACCTGCTCTGTGAAGTCACCCTACGGGTTGAGACTAAAAGAACCCAAAAGCAGCAAAATGAGCAGATGTGCCCCATTCCTTCGAGGACAGAGCCTTGTTTTTGACAGGAGGGAGGGAACGTGGGCCTGTCACTTCTTGGGGAGAGTTGACACTTGTACAAGGCCTTAAAAAGTAAATAGATGGGGGTGGCGCCAGGAGGGAAACAACCAGAGCACACGGGCACGAGAGGACCACAGGTAGAGAGAGCGATGGGGACTCTATGGGGTGGATGCAGAAATGAGGGCTTTGCGGGCACTTTGGAATAATGACATCGTCACGCACTCCAAGATGTTTTTCAGAAGAAAGCTGAGATTTCCAAAGAGGAAGTAATGGAAGGTAAAACCTGAAATCAGTGGAACAGAATGACCTAATTGGTACAGTGGGGAACCGATGTGTATTGTCTTAATAGTTGTTTGCTTTATAAGCTGTTGAGCAGAGAGGTAGTATAGTTATTTTTTTTCCAGCATAAAACCAATTGCAAGAATTAACCGGAAGCACTCAGGGTCCTGTTGAGGGCGGCCTCTGGGTTTCGGTTCTTGCAGATTCACTGGCAAGAGGGCCTGCTGAATCGTCTTGCAGTTTTGAGGATAATGGGGTAAGATTTGGTTTGGATTACAGCAGGCATGGGTACTTAACATAATTGGTCATTTCATCAATTCACAGTATTTATTTTATTTTAAATGCCATTTAGGCTGCTAGAGACATTTTAGTACGTTAGCAGTTTCAGTGGGTAGAGAGCACTTCAGATCTTGTACAATAGTAACCTAGCTGATTGCCAGAAGGGGACAGACCCTTCGTTAAAAGGGGACCCAGGATGGGGCCCAGCAGCTGAGTGTGGCTTATTCAGAGGCCTCAGGAGTGGCCAGCTGACAGGTGTCCCCAACTGTCTCCTCCGCCTGTCTCTGTGTGTCTTGGTGACAGTCTCTGTGTGTGAAATACATTTTTTTAACCATCTTTTTTTTAAAAATTTTTACTAGAGTATAGTTGATTTACAATGTCGTGTAAGTTTCAGGTGTACAGCAAAGTGAATCAGTTATACATATACACATAGCCATTCTTTTGTAGATTCTTTTCCCATATAGGCCATTACAGAGTATTGAGTAGACTGTCCTTGTGAAGTACATTTTAAAATTTCTTAGGTTATAATATCTCTTATTTTCTTAATTAAAAGAGTAAACTGGGCTTCCCTGGTGGCGCAGTGGTTGAGAGTCCGCCTGCCGATGCAGGGTTCGTGCCCCGGTCCGGGAAGATCCCACATGCCGCGGAGCGACTGGGCCCGTGAGCCATGGCCGCTGAGCCTGCGCGTCCGGAGCCTGTGCTCCGCAAGGGGAGAGGCCACAACAGTGAGATGCCCGCGTACCGCAAAAAAAAAAAAAAAAAAAGAGTAAACTACTGTAAGTTTTCTTCCAAACTCCCTGGCCCCAAACTCCCCCCTCTCCTTCTGCCACATAGACACACATATTCCCTTCACCCATCAAACTTAAAATTAGGTTACTTTATTTAAACATCACCCTTGGATGAATTATTTTAATGAGTCAGTGGTTCCTAATTAAAGACATTCCTCACCTCTGGTCTGACCCTTCAGCGTCTGCCCCTGGAGGGTGCATCCCCCAGCCGCACATGGCGTCGCTGCTCTTGCTCGCATCATTTCTTCTACTAAGAGTTGCTACGAGCTGCCGCGCATCCGATCCGCCACGTCTGCCCCGCTTTGGCCTTCATAGGCTTTGTAGGCCTCCAGGCTCCCCACGGAGTTCTGTTCAGAGAGAAGCTGCTGCCTGTACAGCTCTGAGCCAGCTGACCATCTGGGCCTACCCACACTGCCCCACCTGCAAGCATTTCATTAGTCTTTGTCTCTGTGTGTCAGGCACTGGATTAGGCTGGAACCTCCCTGGGAGGCCCAGGGCCTGCCCCCTCCGCCACTGACCGCCCGTCCCGGGGTCAGAGCACACGTCCCAACCTTCTTGCAAAGCAGCTCAAGCCCTGATGCCACCACAGGTCATGCAGACCTGCCCAGTTACCAACCCCCTGGCAGCCTTCCGGTCCCTCCCTCCAC